ATGAGACTCAACAGGTCTGCTTGAAATGTTTGACACAAAAGGCTGGAAGAAACCTGCCACACATGGATGACAGAATATTATTGTAAAAAAGAAAGTACAAAGAAAATGCAGATATTGTTCTTCCAGAATCAGTGATCAGTCTAGATTCTACAGAACACTGATGTGTAGAGAAAACGAAGGACCAAAGATAAGATATGCAACAAGGTTACAGAAAACAAATCCATAATGTGTTGGATCTAAATGAAAACAACGCACTAAATTGGTCTTTTCTTTCAATTCTCTAAAACTGCCCCACTGTGTTTAGATCAAATGAACAACAGCTGTGAAAACAGGCAAATATTCCAGTATGGTGCAGGGCCTGAGTTTATAACAAAGTAAAATGATAGTAACTAGATCGGACAGCTGCTGCTTTCTGTTTTAAATGCATTTCCATCTATCAGAATTTATTCTAAAACTGTAATGGGATGGAAAAACAATCAAAAAAGGAAAAAGAAAGAAACCCACGACAACTGAGGATGATTAGAGCAGTGTTTCCCAAACTTTTTTTCTGGGGACCCATATTTTAAAAGTCACAAACCTCATTACATTATTCGTAAACTGGGAAACATGATGCGAGATGACCCAAAAAAGAAACTCTTGCGACCCACCTGAGGGTCACGACCCAGTCTTTAGGAAACAATGGATTAGAGGTCATGTTGTCATCAGAAGCACAAATGAAATAGCAAGTATAGACTGTGACGACAGGTCGAGTGTTGGTACTGATGACGAAAACTGTTTATTTGGTCAGTTAGTTCAACTGTCCCTTTGCTTTTCTCCCCATAACTTAAGATCAACTGCTCAAACCACAGAGCAACTACGAATGGTCCCTGACAGTGCACACTGTTACCTCCACACACACACACACACACACACACACACTCACACACACACACACACACACACACACACACACTGGTATTTCACTGTGGTGTAGATGAGGAACAAGTGAAGCAAAAGAGAGAATCAAAGTCTGGAAAGAGTCTGGGAGCAAAACGAGGAAACAGAAGGTAAACGATCCTTTGATCGGACTAATGATCACATTTATCACTTTTTCATCAGCACGGTTAGAGATCCTGGACATTTAGTGGCCGTTGGAGACAGAGCTCTGTTCTCCTGATAGCTTTGAGATGGAGAGACCAGACATTCTCTGCCGCATTCACATATGTCACAACCAGTTTAGAAAGTAAGTGCAGTTGACATTTGATTCAATATGTATATAAAAAAAAAAAAAATAGAAGAAGAAGAAGTTCACTGTGGCGCGTGACTTCATTGCACACAATAAAACATGGAAATGCATACGACAAAAAAAAAAGCTTTGGAAATTGCACTCGGACGTTTGCACCGGTGACAGCTCTGTCCTCCTTTTCCTTGACTTTTGGAATATTTACATTCAGTAGTTCAGTCCACTGTGGAAAGACGTCAGAATAAAACACCAATCAAGAACCTTTTTTTTCCTCCCCATGATGCATCTGACAAGCTACTACAGCCTCCTCAGCTGATCTTCAGCTAACAGTTTACATCACTGCTGCTGCTGCTGTGGAACAGCGACTCTCTGCCCCCTGCTGTTCACTCAGTACTGTTGCAGTGAAGTGTCCCCCTTTCCTGTAGGTGCTTCTGGTTCTGTTTGAGTCATATAGCCAAACCCAGGGTCCTGCAGTACACTCTGTGGCCCAACCCAGGCCTGGCTTTTGGTCTGAAGAGTTGACTGGGTTTTATTTGTATTTTTTTTATTATTGTTGTTTTTTCTAGTCAGGACAGCTCTTAGCAAAGTTTGACTTTAAAGGCTGAAATCTCCATGGGGTCCAGACTGACAATGGAGTCGTTGGCCAGCGGCATCCCAGGATGCATCAGAGTCAAGGACATGGGCTGGAGGAGTTGCAGGTCTAGATTCTTAAAAAGGCCCGAAATGTTAAGCTGCAGAGGAAGGGAAGAGAGAAGGGCATTTAAGGGTCAAGTCCGAGCTGTTTGTAATCATGTGTTACAGAACAGGACAGAGTAGAACATCACACTAGTAGATCTTCACTGACGTGTTATTGTTTTTTGCTTGACACTTGTGGATGTGTGACTATAATCTCTTACATCCAGATTCAGACCACTGTCTAAAGTTGTATACTATTAAAAAACAGACTATTTCAATCCTACCGGCAGTGGACCATGGTGCCTTTTTAGGCCACGGCCTGATTCAACTATTATTTATGATGATGAAACTAGTGTTTGAAGATGCACGTGTCCATCTCTCCTACTTCAGTACTAATCCAAAGTACTTAAATGATCACATTGTGAGAAGGACAGATTTTTCACCTATTCCCACCTTATGATTTTGAGAAAATGTTTGTGAGGATTCAAATATTGTCTTTTTTTTTTACCTGTTTGAAAATAATGTTTTTATATTTTATATTTTAAATAATTTTTTTTACAAATTTCTTTTTGTTTTTTTTTTTGTTGTTTTTGTTTTTTATTGCAAAACCCAAATTAAAAATTGATTGTAGTGAGTAATGGTCATTCTTTGGGAACTTTCCCTCAACTTCCAACACTATTGTTAAACACTAAGCAAAGCCGACTGTGGGACTTATAAATAACCTGCAGCCGATACACTGGAGTGTTTGCCACAGAGTTTTGGCAACAAAATATCTTTTTAGTATCAACAGTAAAATAAAATGATCTTTATGAGTGTCATATTATTAAGCTACTGTTAAATGAGCACATCTAATAACTGTTACTGCTTCACTATATTTTACTTCTTCATAGATGCTGTAAGTCGCTTCATTGGATCTAATAGAACTGATTTATACTTCAATTTTGTAGACTGATCCTCAGAGTAAATATTCAATAAATAAATAAAGCACACTGACTGACTTCTTTTGGTTCCTTGATCCCATCACAAACAGCCATCGGAAAGTGAACCTCTGGCCCCACCTGCACTAAACCATCACACAGGTGCACCACAGGGCTGTGTGCTGAGTCCACTGCTGTTCTCCGTGAACATGTGACTGTGCACTAATGTTACATTTCCAGTTGACTTATCCCTGTCTGCCAAAAGTGGTGAACGACCTCTGACTGAACTGGGTACTGAACCATCAACTGACACGTGGGGAGGGTGATTATTGGTGTGTTTGGTTTTTGTTGCTGCAACAAACACTTTCATTAATTCTATACTTTCATCTAAAAACCCTGGTTTTGAGTGTCCAAATACTAACCTGTCCTTGGGTGGTGGTGCAGTTGAAACCCAGGTTTTGAGATTCAAGGCCACAGTCCATTGCCAGGCGGTGAACGATTAAGGCTGTATGTGGAGACGGTAAATGTGGGTCCGACTGCTCTCACACACAGACACAGATACACAGACACGTCAGTAAAAATAAAAACCTGAATGTCAACTCTGCTCATTGTTACGCCTGTGTACGCACCTGGCTCTGGATGCTGCGCAGGTTCACGAGGAAGAAGTCACAAGGAAGGATGGACTTGAGGGGAGCGAAAGTTTGCAAAGGTGGAATGCCCCGTCTTTTGGGCAGAACAGGCAACGCCAACACCTCGTGATTCAGGATGGCGTTGGTCATGTGGCTCAGTATCGATGGGAAGCTTGTTGTTGTGCTGTCCCTCATCTAAAGAAAGGTGGAGGTAGATTAAAATCAAAGGAGTAAAATGATGTTCTGGGACACTGCAGTCATTAGGGTTTGTTCATCTAAAGCTTTTTCAAGCCAGAAACAGATCAAGAGTTGGGTTACTTCTCATGAGGGCATGAGAAGTATGTTAATAGGTAATAATAATAATAAATTATTCACCTGCTGTAGAGATTTCTAAGGTGAAGAATAGAAAAAACGTACACTAGTAAAATTACATTTACATTTAGCAGACGCTTTTATCCAAAGCCACTTACACAAAGAGGTGTAAATATGGTTCCACTGGTGCCCTATATATATATAATAATGTATTTTTAATGTGATTATAATGTGTTTAAATTCTTTTAAACATTCTGGTTCAAAACAATCTCGTTTTTTTCCACATAATACAATTCCCAGTCCAACACATCTCCTGTAAGATGTTTTGTTTTTCCATGTTTTTATCAGATGTTTATGTGAACGGCTCCCTATTACTGTCAACACAGGACAAATGTTCCTAATTCTATTCCACACACAGAACTAATCCATCTACGTTGGGTTTGTTACAGCAGAAACACTATGTCAAATTTTAATTTAAGCCTAACGTTTAATGTTTTGAGTCGGGCCACAGCCAGCCGAGCAGCAGTTTTATCAGAGCTGCAGTCATAAAAACTGCGCCGCTGCCCTCTTTTCTCTGCCAAAAGTGCATTATTTCACTTGATTAATCACATCATTTGTTATTTTCAATAGCACGATCTAATACGGAGCACTACAAGGAGAGGGAAGGCACAAAAAAAAGAAGCTGGTGCTAGAGTGTGAACGATGACGGGGGCTAAAAGTCTTCTTCACTGTTGCCTAGGCAGCGTTACCTCTTGAACTCCATCAGTTAGGAACATGGAGACGAATGAACTAAACAATGAGGACAGTCTGGCAAAAACACCATCATGCTGAAGACAATGAAGTGGAAAAAGAGGAGAATAGAAAACACAATCAGAGTTGAGAGGATAACAGACGGGGCGGTAATGAGAATCACAAAAAAAGATAGAAGAAATGAATATGCAGAAAGATGGACAGAACATCATTAGAATTAACAAGTGCAACTTCACATGAGTGGGCAACACACACTTCATCCAAGCTTCATGATGGTCTCCTCCCCCATACTGACCTGGTTGCCTGTGGACCTGCGCTCCAGCTGCAGACGGAAACGGTTAGCCGTCTTTTTATTGTCCTTGACTCCCTGGCCCAGGCCACGATTGTCATCCTGCATTAGTCGTCGGTCCATAATCACTTCAAGCTGACCTGAGAGCAGGATGGACAGAGATGACAGCTTTCAGATAAAGAATCAAGCAGTTATCAATGTCTACATTAGAGATGAGCAAGACAAAAAAAGTTTTAAAAATATGATACTGACCAGTCTCCAAGCTGCTGACCCCCAAAGACTGAGCTGTGTGCAGCGTGAGGCGATGATGACTGTCCTGGATGTAGGCCTGACTCGGCATGGGATAAAAGTTGGCCTGCAATGGCAGTTTCATGTGGCGACGACGTGGCTGCACCTGGAGGTGGTCAGCAGCGCAGTGAAAAATTATAAAGTCTGTTAAAGATTTGATTATATGATTTAAAACAAATCTAAAATTTCTAAGGCAGTAACTGGACCCGGCAGTACATTTCACTTTTCTTCACATAATTACTCAAAAGTACTCAAAGTTCGGGGTAGACAATACACTCCATTACTTGATCAATGGAGAATTATAATTGTCAGGTAAAAACAGGAACAAGAAAAATCTTTTTTGTTCTTTTTTTTTTAGTTTAAAGAGTCACACTGTGACAAAGCTCATTAAAGCACGTATGTGCATGAAGGCTGTGCCTTCCACCTGGACATGCCGTTCAGCTCACGGGGCCCTGCTGTTGTGAGGGTGTTATTTATTCTCTGCGTGACTACTTCAGTACAGACGTTTTACAAACGAAGCCAAAGAAACAATTATGTTTGTAAGAACCAAAATGTCAAAACGTGAACAAGTTCATTTTCAGATGCATTGCCGTCAGTTCCAAAATGTGAACAAACTAACCTGGAAACCATTGAGGTCTGTGTAGAAAACATCTCCACTTTGGATGTCGGTGACCAGTCGCATGGCCAGCTCCTTATTGATCAGATCTCTTATGTCCACCATGGTCGTGATGTCTAGAGACAGCCCATCCACTCCTTAAAAGTTAAAAAAAAACAAAACTTTTTATGAATCGTTTTCATTTGTGACTAAATTAAATGATGGAACTATCATTTAAATGGCAGCATTCCACATTACCATGTGGTGTTTTTTTTTTTTTTTTTTTTTTACCTGGAACATTGTGGATGCGAATGTTCTGCTGAAAATGCTGGTATTGTGCCACCACCTCCGAGAAGAGAGGACCTTCGACCACACGCACTACTGCGGGTTCTTTCTGGTGGTAGGGCTGAGTGAGGGAAAGAATACAGAGAAATTGTGAGCTGGTTTCAAAAAGATCCTTTGGGGAATATCTGCAGGGACAAATCGTCAGTAAAAGCCAAAGGATAAGCATCATATTTGTTCCAAAGAAAGTTGTTTTTTAGTAAAGCAGATAGATAAAGCGGAAAATCCTTTCTCCCCCGCAGCTCTCTCAGCTTGACACAGCCGCACAATGCACAAGTTATTGCGTGGTGAAAATACCTTAGCCTTGCCATCGGGGAGGAAGAGGTAAGCCCCGCTTTTGTCCTTCGATGGGCGAGTACCATAAACCACAAACTGCATTTGAACCTTTACCTCCTGCGGATCATCTTTATACTTTATACTCTGTGGATGGAAAACAGAGGAAACATTTGAAAATGTTATGATAAGAAAGAGCCATGTCATGTTAACGTTGGGGAAAACAGACATTTTTGGAATTTCAAAAAAAGTTTTTTTTTTTTTAATATCAAAATAAATCATCCACTAGATACAAGGAGAGCAAGAAAGAAGTAAGAAAATGTGAACACCTCCAACAGGCCTGTGGTTCCTGAGAAGCCAAGTGTGAGAGACTGACTGCTGATGTAGAAGGTCTGTGAGTCAGACAGCTGAGAGCGAACAGGAAGAGGGTCCTCCGCATGAGCAGCTGCGTTCCTTCCAGGCAGTCGGAGAAGTGTGTCAGATCTGATTGTCATGGGTGAATCTGGAGAGTCATAGACGTGGAAAACCGCAAGGCCAAGGGGCGGCAGACGCACCATGAACGTAGCCTGGACAAAATATCAAAACAAGTCCTATCAGTACACCTTTACTGCTCTTATATCACAACCTTTTTTCATTACCTTAATTTCTTTTTTAATTATTTAATTCAATAATTTGAATCAATATATAGATTTCCCAGGGTTTAGAGACCGTGGGTATTGTTTATTTGAAAAAAAAAAAGTTTTTAGCTGCTCACATGAACAAAGCCTCTTACCTCAAACACTTCTGCACTTATTTTAGTGGCAGTGCTCCATTGAGCGCTCAGCTGCACAGGGAGGGTCTGTCCATCTTCAGTGAGTATCCTCACCCTGACTGTGTTCACAAGCACAGTCACCACACACAGGCGCTCCTGCTCAACAGGGTTGAAAAGAACCAGGTACCTTTGAGAGGGGAAAAAAATGGGGGGGAATAAAAGAGTAAAGAGAGAGAGAGAGGG